ATGGTGTAGGTCAACGGGTTATTCCTAGGCAGTGTTTCGAGCCAGCCGGGCGTGTCGTATGAGGTCAGATTGAGCGACCCCCAGAAAGAGCCCACTATGAAGTTGAAAGCGCCCACGAAGATCGATGGATGGTACTCTGTCACAGGGGCATAGTCCGTGACGAAGAGGCCTTGCCCTAGTGCACCCAGTCGGGACTCATCAGCATTGGTGGCATTGAGTGAATACGTAGAAGCGCAGTATACCCCAGATATGGGCCTTATGCCCAGTCCTGTGGCTTTAGAGCAGCGCTGGATATGATTTCCAGCAGTGTACAGCGGCAGACGGTCAGCCTTGGAGTCGGGACCAGTAACGAACCTGAAATTTAACAATATGAAATTGGTCCCTGTTAAGGCCTATTACCATGTCTCGTTGAGTGCCAAGAGGAGATATGTGAGAGTTGAAGTATCTCTTCGGATAAGACCAGTATTCTTCATAAAGTTGAAAGCTTTGCTCATACACAGGCTCATACTATTATACGTAATGGTGACTTCACTCTGCTGTATGCTGACAGGGCTGGTCGAATTAGGGTAGGTCTGCTTGACAGTGGCGAACTCGTCGGGGCACAGGTAGACCTGCCGGGTCGAAGGCTCACCACGGGCTGACATGTCCACGTAGAGGCTGACTAGACCCCTTGTTTGGTCGGTGTTGTCAAAGTTGACATAAACTTCATGGACCCCCTCGAAGCCCTTGGAAGTGTCAGCTTGTGAGACCCAACGGCAGTAGCCGGTGTACTCTTGCGCTGTTGCTAACTCCACCAATATTACCATCCATACTAGGAAAACTGCACTGAGTGGGCAGCTCACTGGCCGGCCTTTTCGTCGCCACGGTGTGTAGTGCGGTGGTAGTAGGAGATCCCGAATACCCATACTCCTACATGGACATTCTAACATGAACCCATGAACTACATCAACAACAATAAGGACGTGACGCTGCAGGGCTATGATGTCGCAAAGGGAAGAAGTTTACTATTAATCGGAATTTTTTCAGCGACGGCAACCACTTGATCGAGCCCCCCGATCGAGGAGCGTATTGGATCATTCGGACGGTATAATCTAATGCACAAGTTCGTCGGGTGCGAATGATGTGATGGTTGCACGTCAAGGACGATTTTGGTCGTTTTAACCCGTGTAAAACGTCCGTTCATGCGTGTCATGTCAAAAGTGCTTCATTTAGCAGGATGGTTGGTGGGCGATTCT